TCCCAGAGTAAAGTGACTGTCAAAGCGGCGTCCGAAAGTGAAAGAGCTCGTAGTTTACTTTAGCACTATCTCGTACATGGAAAAACGTGAGAAACACATAAAAACATACATGATGTATGATCTGTGTTATTATGATGTATGACTTGTCTTATTTATCTTCTGACACTACCAACAAGAAATAGTTTTTATGTAATGTACACAGTATTTTATTGCTGGAATACAGAATCAGCAGAATCTACGAACTAAATGCAGACTGTATATGCCTCATTATTTATCCTGTAGTGCAATCAGTCAGAGAGTCTCACATTATTCTCTTGCTACAGTGAACCTGAGGCTCTTTTATAGCAACTCAAAGTGAAATAATAGTTGCTATGGTTTTTGATGTGATTTTGCAACTGATGATTTTTGCACATAAGCACTAACCAAAGAAAAAGAGATTATCTCGTTTGAAAACATAACGCTCTCTGACTGAGTTCTTCTGTACCTTATGAATAAGTCTCGAAGGCATAAAAAAGATATATGATTTTTAATATATCTTTGATGAACACAACGGAAAGGAAGAGTTGAAACGACTAAGTGGTTATAGATTAACAAGTGTAACTTTTTAACGCATGTAACATACCAGTTTTACACATCACAGGTATATAGATGAGTGTTAGGTTCTGTTACAGCAAATATGACTATAAGTTTACTTACAATGACCGACAGACTTGTTAACCATAGTGCGATGTAGTGCTTCGAACACTGTGTTAGTCGCTTTTCTGCCATAACGAAAAAGTATGTATTGTTCGAAAATATACCATTGGATAGCCCTTGAAATTCTCTACAAAGTGAGCTGGTCAGAATATCCAGAAAGGTGAGCCCAGTCATTAAAGATATGGAAAAGATGCTTTTGAGTGTTATCTAAGCTAGCAGATGACATGTGTTCAAATGTACCCCACTTGGGGCAATCGGAAACGTACGTGAAGTTAGTGGGGTAGATGGAAGCGACCATGTAAATAGCTAAAAGCTAGGAGTTTCTTGGAAATCAGTTTCTACTCGAAGAACACCTCTCACAAAAAAGTTTGCGCTTATAAAAAGATGCAGAATATTCTTTTCTGCAATCGTAACTCTCACTTGTTTTCATTCAGAAATAACGAAATAAGCGTGTTATACGAGAAAGTTAGTCTAGGCTATCTTGATAATCACTGAACCAAACTTTATGAAACCTGGCGCTTAATAGTTTCTCAATGTCCTCTTTCTTTTCTTCTCTAGAAAGTTTTCTCTAAAACTCTCGAAAGCAGGGGTTTTCTAGAAAACCGTACTTTTGGGCTACTTGTACTTCTTAAAACGATTTTACAAATCATTCTTAAGACATGAAAGAAAGCGTACAAATTTTTGGCGAAATGGCTTTTTACCATCTATTGTGTATGCAAAATTTTGGGGAATCTCTGACGTTCCGCCAAAAGACAATTCGTCTCCCTCGAAACCTCAATATAGTGGTTTCATTTGCATTACTACCACTCTTCGTTTATTGAGGTTTCGAGGGAGACGAATTGTCTTTTGGTGAAACGTCAGAGATTCCCCAAAATTTTGCATACTCGAAAGATGGTAAAAAGCCATTTCGCCAAAAATTTGTACGCTTTCGCCAATTCGAGAAACGTCGGATGACTTTTTGCCATGGCGACTTGTCTTTTGGCAAAACGTCACAGATTCCGTTGATATAATCATGATCTCTGTTTGGATCACTTAATTTGACTCCGGTTCCAGACCTTACAAAAGCAAGAAAACATAAGATATAAGCACCTTACGGTTCTATAGGAAGATGATCTCTGAGGTAAAAGTAAACTCCATCCATAACTACGATTATAGCTTAATAGACTAAATTATGTTTACCGTGTAAATTTGCGCTCCTTTTCTATAACTGTTCTGATTTGTTTCCGCTTCCGTACAGCAAGGCCGACACCAATAGGTATTAGAACTGCCATCAAAAGTCTTAAAAAAAAATCTTAGCACATCACAGTGTAGAAAATAAGATTTGCGTAATGTTGACACTCAACTTTTCGAGTTGAGAGTCGTTAGTCGAAAGAATCGAACAGACAGTTCGCCAAATGTTGAAAAACTTTTCGTCGGAAAAGTTTTTTGTCGAATACTTTTTATCAAAAAATATTTCGTCGAGGAATAAATTTGCCGAATCGACAAATTATCTTTCGAGGATTTTTTTTTCTAGAAATTATTGTTTCAAAGAATATTTGTTCGCCTAGTCATCTGTGTAGGTACTATACCACTATTACTTAAACTTTTGTAGAAGATAAGAGTAGAGTACAGTTGCGGTGCAAGTAACTTAGATTAGAAAACTACACTTATTTGCTCTGAACTGTCACAGTTCTATTGTTCCAAAAGGTAATACGGATACCATGCAACGCTGTTGTTATAAATTAGAGAAATAATTCTTTTTCTTTCTCTTTTCTTTTATGTGAAAAAAAGGGTTAAACCGACATTTTTTCTTTTTCTTTCGCAATTTCTTTCACATCACTGAGTTTCGGTTTCATAATTTCTGCTTAGAAAATGTTGAGAAGTTCATGCATGCATAGTCCACAATGAATTACAAAGCTATTCTGCTATTAATTGGGTTATTCCGTCTAACAGATGGAAAATAATAGTTGAAAAAAGGGTCAAGACGATCTTTTTTCTTGCAATTTCTTTTTCGTTTATATAACTAAGATGTTTTTGCATATTCTTTGTTGCCTTCCTCCTCATCCTTTTCTACAAGTTGACCAAAATATCGATGTACGTTCAAAGGATATGATGTATATGATGCATATTCGGAAACCTATCAAAAATGTGTTTATATACTTACCTACCACTTCTGCAGCAGATGCCTATATGCCTAATCAAAAATTGCCCACTGTGCGTGGTCTTGTCATTTGTTGAACGATCAATAGATATTCAAGTGCCTTACGTAATCGATGGTCTTTTCCATGGTTGCAACCGAACTCCACTTCAATGAAAATATTTTGCTTCCCGATGCGCTGATGTTTTGTGAGTAAGCCTCACTATTAGGCGGCTCCTATGACAAACTACGAGCTTCCAAAATCCATTCCTGGAGATACCCCTAGCAGAAAACCGTTCCAGTTCTCTTATTTTCGTTTTTATGTACTCAATAAAACATCTAGACTACTTCCTGATCCACTTTCTTCATTAAAAAGTCAATAAGTAACTGTATATGTTTGTCCAATGATGGTTGAAAATGTTTGACTAAGATAATCAGCAACACCCACAGCTCCATCCCAATAGAAATAGGTTCCACTATGCGGACTGTAGCTGGTACGTCTATTCGAAGCACTTGATGTTATGACACCGCTAGCTGACGCTCCATTTGGATTACAATAAAACCAGTTCGTTTTACTTCCGGTTTCAAAACCACCATTTGTCAACAATTCTGTATCACCTGAATTTTTAACTGAAATATCATCAACAGCAAAATAGCCAACATCTTCTCGAATTGCAAATGAAATACGAGTCGTTGTAGCTATGGCCACATAGGTGAAAGTTGCCTGAGTCCATGACAAAATATTTCCACAATTATCACAATGATAAATTGATGTGACATCTGACCAACCTGCTGTACATGTGTTCGACGTAATGGCCAAAACAATAGGGACAAAATGCCATCTTTCTGTTGTTCGGTGGAAATATAGTGCGGTCAATGCTCACTAATTGTGGTCGCTTTTGTTATGGTAATTAGCGTTGTTACTGTTTTGGTGGTGGTAGTGTTGGCTGAAGTGACTAAAAAGTTGACGAAATCACTCTGCACATTTTCTTTATGTGTCTCTCAAACACAGAGTGATTTCGTCAACTTTTTAGCCACTTCAGCCACCACTACTACCACCACAACAGTAACAACGCTAATTACCACAACAAAAGCGACCACAATCAATGAGCATTGACCCCACTATATTTCCACTGAACAACAGAAAGATGGCATTTCCTTTATGTGTCTCTCAAACACAATGTTTTCTTTATGATCTAGAATTCTTTTAAAGATAAACATATTTTTTCTTCTTAAGTAATCCAAAAAAAGGCGATATTGTAACTTACTAGTTATTGAGATAGAGCTCTCAATCTCTAGTCTTAGATGAGCCTTCAGGGCCCTTTCGAGATAGTCAGCCATTTCTTTCATTTTCTTCCTTTTCACTTCTCATTTTTCAATAATCATACATTCAATACGTGACTGTATAGTCAGTCACACAGTTTCTTTTTTTTCTTTTCTGTTGCCACGAATACAGTTTTTGTCGTTCGACCTCTATGTTATATATATATTTTTATTAAACAACTAAGTTCTTAACCTTCGCAGTTCTATAGACCTTTAACCGTCTAACATAATGTTTTGTTATGCCAGAATCTCTACGATCAAATACCGATTTAAAACAGATACCTTACTTCCAAATTGAATTTCCGCCTACCACACGTCAACAATCAAGTCGAGAGCACCTTACTTCTTCAAATCATTCGTCAACCAACACAAATCGCAACGATTCCTCACCCGACACCTCCTCTCCTCTCACACACCTTTCATTTTCCGCTTCAGTTTTTGCCGACAATACATCGATAGTAACTCCTCAGTCCATCCCGACAGGTTCCCATATAACAAATATTGAGGACTTACGCCAAAATGACGAAGAGGAAGTGAATAGGATAAAAGTCTCAGATCCTTCAACTAACGGAAATTTTGCCGTATGGCCAGTTTCTGTAGAAGACGTGTTGGATTCTTAGAAAGTTAATAGACGAAATTGGTATTCAACAGCCAATGATTATCTCGATGGCAATTTGAACGAATGGTGTAAATCTAGTTCAGTAACAAATGATTGGAGTTTATTTACACAACAACTTTTAAATTATACAAACACTCCCTTTTCAGCAACAACATCCACAATAATAGTCAGTCGCAGACAATAACGTCATCTACAACAGCTAACAACAGAGTGAGTTTTTCTCCATTTTCTAACGCACAAAAGAAAGAAGCTGAGAAATCAAAACAAATTCTTCAGCAAATTGGTGCTCTTCCATCGCTTAACGGTGAAAGTTCAGAACAGCAGCTAACAGATTTGAACTTTTCTTTCAGGAAAATTCGGTTATCAGCCGATATGTAGCCTCATTATTTAAAAGATCTCTTCCAAGGAAAAACACTCAACTGGTATTATTAGCATCAGTCTCAATTTCGTGATTTTGGAGCTTTTACCACAATCTTTCGTAAACATTTCATCAACAAAACTCCTAACCAATCTTCGTCATCCTCCCTTGTTCATCAACTCAAACGATTAACTGATTGTGATCGATTTGAAAACGCACTTCAGCCAGTTCTTTTCGAAGATCTGCTCAAAAACGTCGAAGCATTCTCAGGTGGAAAAGAAAGTGTCATTAGTTGGCTAGAAGAGCTCGAACAACAATTTCAAACAGCACAATGGCCTGTTGACAAGAAATTGAAGTATATTCTCAGATTTTTGACGGTGAAACTAAACAATGGTATGTGCAGCAGGCACATCAAACTCACTCATGATCTTCCTTCAGAACTCACGTACTCAACCAGAAAAAAAATATCGACTATCGGACGATTATTGCTTTCTGTAAATATATTATAGAAAGCAGGATGTCGGTATACAGGATGCAATGTAGACAGCATCTTTCATGCTGTTAATACGTGAGTCAATATATCGGGCAATAATTGGTTAATATATCTAATTTCATAGCTAGTGGTGCAGCAGTATCAGATACTGTCCACAATATATCGACTAAATAGCTACTCGGATCAGTGTTTTACGTCAACCCGATATGTCGGGTACAATATCTAGTCGCTAGCTATCATACCCGATATAGCTAGCTAACCCAATAAAACTGGTACGGATAGCTAGCTACCACAAGCCAATATTGATGATATATTTTTATTCTGATATATTTTTAAAGCTAGATATTCTCAAAGGCATTTTTTTGCTTGGGTAACTAAAACGTAAACATCATCGTGTCAAATGGCAATAGATTTCGAATGTCTTCTAAACTATCATCAAACAGCAAATCAAAGCGTTATTGATTATTACAACGAAGTCATCAAATTGTGCAAACAAACAAATCCTCCAATGGATGAGTGAACAAAAAGTCATTATTTGATAAGTAGTTTTTCAAAGAATTCTATTTTTAGAACCGCATGCCGTCTTTTTTTCCAGTAAATCCTAAAATGAGAGAGACTGAAAATATCATTTTGGTTCTTTCCAAGGAGTTTCGAGGCAGCAAATGTTTTTTCTAGCCGTTGAAAAACTGTTCTGTTTTTCTTCCGGTAATCGATAGATACTGCTCAATGTTTTGTCCCAAATTTGGTTTGACCTCGGCACGTCGTTTCCCATTGAAGGTAAAAAAAACCCACTTTTTATGAATTACAGTATATTGATTCTGATTTAGGAATGAGGCAAAATGAATAAGCATAGCTGATAAAGGCATCCATTTGGTTTATCTTAAATTAATTAAAACGCTTTATTTACTCGTGGACGTGGAAGTTGATGTGCTTGTAGCTGAAGTGCTGATTGCTGTTGAGGCGGCAATGAATAGAAAATTATTAATGTTCCGCTTAATCTTTAAGTATCCTCTTTATGGCGGAATGCCTTTATGCCTTTTTTTTCGAATTTAGAAAACAACAAAAGAACGAATAATTCATGTATTTTATTTAAATTTCCGTCATCTAAAAATGAATATCATATTGGTTTCATCTC